CAGGCATCTATTGCAATTTCATTTTACTTTTTGTGTACTGAAGTTAGGCATGCATCAATCAGATAGATTTTCTTTGAAATTGCAAATTTTTGTTAAATTCTACAACGTAAGATATAATTTTATCAAAATACATTATTTCTAGCTTCAAGTCAAGAAGTAAGATGATTTTTACAACAAGTAATTACATATCAAATAAAGTTACCGACTTTGAAAACATTTGAAAGGTTAAAATAGTTGTTGGTGGGTACACTAACAAAAAGCAACGTTTGGGTATAGATATTAGCAAGCTTTAGTTGTTAGGTAAACAACCAGCGGCACATTTTGCAATCTACGAAAACATTACACATTTAGTAACATACAATAAATCTTTCAGCAATGATACAAATATATAAATGTTTGGGAGTCGAGTTCAGTATATACAGCATGAACAGGCAGCATATCATATGATAATTAGTAAAAATCTGGTAATTAGTATAAATTAATTATAAAGTCACTTCAATTCTTGTAAGGTATATTAGTCTATCAAAACTTAGGGATAGATACAGAATGATCACCATTGTGTACTTAAACAAGCACAGTGTTTAGTAGTCTTCATCTCGACTATCAGCTGGCTGTGTGACACAAGGATAATGAAGGAGGTGATGGACAGGTAGAAGATAGTTGGGAGAGGAGATATGAAGGAATTTGATGGAACATCTATGGTTTTGAGCTGGATAAAAGTCAGTGGCAAATATACCACACAGCGTAGTCAATGAAGACGGTATTTTACTGTGAGCGAGCTTAAAGAATTATAAAATTTATGCTAACATGGTTTCTTAATTAATAAATTCAGATCAGACTTCTGTGAGCATGCAAGACTCAGCTGTTCAAGTCAAATAGTTGAGCGATTTAATTCATCATTAAACACAGACACTATTAAATTACATAAAACTATATAATGGAATTTTAAATCAGAATAAAGACGTGAGAGTGCTACATGTCAGGAAAGGTAGAGAGAGGATATGGAGGTCTCCAGCAAAACTCTCACAAGATTTTAAATTTCAGCATGGAATGAATGACAGTTTGTCGGACCATTAGGAAAGATGGACATTGTATTTTCTAGTAGAAATGCAAAGGACATATAGGAACATTCGTACTTAATGAAGAGGAGGGGTATAAGAGTTATGTCCCTTTCAATGTGGAGGATTTCTCTCTGCTAACCTGTGACTGTCAAGCTCAACTGTGACTTGGATTTTATTCTGTTTCCATAAGATGCTCCATCGCTGGTATAAATTTCCTCTTGGATGCTGATCAGAGCAAAAATAATTGAAGAATTTGAAATACAATGGATCCCAAACAAGACCCCATTGTGTATGAATTTTATGAAATAATCTTCAGGAAATTTTCAAAAAATTCAGATAAAATGGGACCAAACTTTGAGGTATATCTATATTATTGATATTGCCTGTAAAAGTGAAACGTCACATATAGTTTTGATACAAAATTAAGCAGAAATCCCCTTTACAAGCTTGTCTTCATTTATCTCATTTAATTTATGTTGTTTTTTATGTTGACAATCTTCAGATAATATAATGAGTATTATTGTGCTAATACATATATATATACACAATACGGATTGATTTTGTACAGTTCTTGCTCCATATTTAGTAGCAAACTGGTGTACTTAAAGTAATATCAACATCCCTAAAAATGTTAAAAGGCTTTGTCTTCAGATGGCATAAATTGCTACAAGTTTAATGTTATGATGTGCTAGTACAATAATTCTCAATACTCCATATACGTGTAGCATGAAATGAAAGCTGACAGATTATTCGATATCCTACGATTACTAATGGTATGAAATTCTAATTTCAAAAGTTACCTTACTTCTGTATTTGAATTTAAGTAAAATATATTTATATTTTTAGGAATTTTTCATCTTTTTGGTGTGTCTGGAACACCATTCCTAAATGTTAAGCGCATTAATTAAGTGTTGATTGTACAGTATATTGGCTGGTTTTTGTAATTTCAAAATTATCTCAGATTGCCATGTTGATATTAGATGTTTTATATACTAGTCTCAGTCATCCCATTCGATAATGTAAATTTACTTTTTGTTAAGAAAATTACTTTTGATAATCATCAATAACTTGAACTTTTTTTAAGAGGTGTACTTAATACATTTATAGATCTATACCTCCCTTTAGGAACAGGTCATTCACCTGTTAATTAATTAATTAATCAGTTAATTAAAACACCTGGAAATGTTTACTTTTATTGATAAGATTTTAGGATTTTAAATTTTGATGCAGTTTTACAGAAACAATAAAAGCAAACACACATAAAGTACAATTGGTATTAAGTGTATCAAATCATCCATATATATATATATATATATACAAAAACAAATCTCTATTGATAAGTATACTACACAGCCAAGATATCTATCACTCATTCATCAAATACAAAATCACTGGAAAACCTGTCTGGGGAGGCAATAACACTTATACCATACATATCCTGTAATAAGCCCAGCTGACCCACATATCACTTACTACTTAAACCCAAGGATATGTGGGAATATCATTGGAATATGAAATTATATTGGTTTAGAGTTAAATACATGCATGGGCTTATTACTGGACATGGGCTTATTACTGGACATGGGCTTATTACTGGATAGAAACAGTAATCTCCAACATTAAATATAAATTCTTCTTGTTTGTGTTTCTTATAGTGATCATAAAAAGACCACAAACATAATAAAGGACAAAAGTAGAAAAGTCGTAAACCAGTGGGAGAACATAGTGTGGTATCTTGTGATATTTTTCATTTAATGGTCACCATGAAATGAGCATAACAGTTGGAAAATTTCTCAGAAAAATTAGGTGGTCCCTAATCACAGGTTCAACTGGGGTATTTTGCAGTGAACATATGGGGGCAGTCCTTAAAATACCAGTTGCTAAGTGTGAACTAGGGTGCACCATCCATAAAATCAGGTTTGAATATGATTTGACTGTTATGTGAGTACTGAGGTGGTCCCTAAGCACAGGTTCAACTATATGACTTGACAGTAATGAGCATTAGAGTATCCTCTGAAAACAGCTTCAACTATAGAGTTACAGTAAAGAGCATTAAAGCGGTCCTGAAAACAGGTTTAAATATGGTTATACAGTGTTGAGCAAAAGCAATGGTCCCTTAAAGCAGGTTCAAGTATTGAGCATTGAGCATTAGCGATGGACCCCAAAAGCAGGTTGAAAATGGTTTTAAAACATTGAGCATTGGGGTGTTTGCAACTGAAAACAGGTTCAACTATGGTTTTATAGCATTGAACATTAGAATGATCCGTTAAAACAGGTTCAACTATGGTTTTATAGCATTGAACATTAGGATGGTCCTTTAAAACAGGTTCAACTATGGTTTTATAACATTGAACATTAGAATGATCCGTTAAAACAGGTTCAACTATGGTTTTATAGCATTGAACATTAGAATGATCCGTTAAAACAGGTTCAACTATGGTTTTATAGCATTGAACATTAGGATGGTCCTTTAAAACAGGTTCAACTATGGTTTTATAGCATTGAACATTAGGATGGTCCTTTAAAACAGGTTCAACTATGGTTTTATAGCATTGAACATTAGGGTTGATTCCTAAAATACTAGTTAAACTTTGATTTAGAAGAGGTTGTGGTCTCCCCAGACAGGTTCAACTGTGATTAACAAGCAGCATATATGTATATATACAGCAGTCCATCGCCAGGTCTGGAGAGTGGTTCATCTGTAAGTAAAACTGACTATACCAAGGTCAAGCCATTCTGAGTGCCAAACTCTGTGAATCAGTCAGGACAATGACTACTCACTACTATAAACTATCACAAACAACTACACCACAACATGTAGGTCAATCAGATGTTGAAATATTTTCATATTTCAGAATGAGTCATCTTTTATACATATAATCCTTGTAATATCTATTTTTACATGCAAATTTTAAGAAAGGTAAAAATAACCATAGATATTTGAATTGCTAGAGATTTGATCTTAAGGTAGAAGAAAAGAACTAGGAAGCTGTATGGTTAAATTCATTGAACAGCAAAATATAGAAGAATCACTACTAAATGTTTAAATGTCGTGATTTTATTTGTTTGATTCAAAACTTTTATTTGTGACCTTGAACAATGAGAAAAAAAGAAAGAAAAATGAAACAAAAATGTTTCACAATCAGAAGAAACAAAAGATTTCTGTGTTAGCGTGTTCTGTGTTCCAGGTAAAAACTCAAAATGTTTACAATCTAGAAAATTTTACTCAAGGTATTTATATTTCTTGGGGGAATGAATTCCATTTGAAAGTTAAAAACAAAAACTTCCTTCTGACCAATATCAAATTAGAATTTCTGAAGCAAACCTGGAGAACAAATATTCCTTAAACCTACTGTGAAAGGAATTCTGCTGAAAATAGTAAATGTGAGATTACGAAAGTAACTCAATACATATATACAATTACAAATATTTCCAAAATGATGTCATTCCTGAGCCTTGAATAAAAAATAGACTGGACACAGGTTCAAAGATTTAATAACAAGAAAAAAAATCATGAGATTAGCTTTTCTTTTCCTAACCATATTCTTGAAAGATAAAAGTTGAAGTTTGCTAGAAATGTCAGTAGCATAGACTTGGTTTATATCACTCCTTACTCAAAGCAATGTAACTGACAGAAATATAGATATGACAATATAAAGCTGTCCTGAAGAGATTGAGGCATGATGACAATATCAGACTGTTTACCAAGACGAGATGACAACAGTGGAGACACAGAACATGACGACGGTATACTGTGTAGGTGGTTTCTTACAACAACACGACAGTGGCACTGTGGGAAGGTTGTGACAGTTTCTTACAGAGTTGTCCCTCTCGGACCTGGCATGGAGTGTAGATTGAGAAGGGGCAACTCGCAGTCAAGGTGCAGACAGATACAAAGAAAGCATAGGAGACACATTTATCTTTTGTTTGGGGCGGTACCTGATGACGAGGGACTGGAAGTTTTTGAAGTGTTGCCACTGCTGTCTCCCCCTGCCCCGGGGCTGCCTCGCCGTATAGAACTCTGGTGACCTGAACATTGACTGTGAACACCACATGCCTTGGGGCCGCCTTTTGGCAGATCTGCTGCACACTTAAGTAAACTGTACACAGGGTCGATCTCTCCTGCTGTAATTACATAAACATGACATAACGTTAAAGAAAATGATGGTGAATTTCTTCCATTAAAAACTTACAAAAGTTGAATGATTACAACATTGCTTATATATATATTATCTGAAGAATTGGAATATTCTGCCTCAAAAATGCTTAGGAAACAATAAGATAACCTATGCAATCGATCCTATTACCAAAAACAATATTTTGGACAATTATAGATACATTGAATCAGCCCAACAATAGGCTACAAATGAAATTATCATCACTCTAGGAATTGTAGTTCTTAAGAAGAAAATTTTTGGATTCATCAATGATTAATTTTAGCCTTGTGAGCAAATGCTATGCTCAAGTTTGCTCACTAACATGGTCCTTTCATGATGATGCACATTGCATTTCTAGATAAAATGTCAATCAATGCTTTGAACATTCAATCCCTGTGGTATTAATGTGTTCAAGGTTGCTAATTAATATTAAAAAATCTTCATCGTAAATAAACAACACGGCAAAAAATTCATATAACGATGGGTTTTGGTTCTTAAGACAATAGAGTTTTTCAACACATTTGATTTGCATAAAACTAGATGTGGACCATGGTCAAACCTAAACGGCCATGTTGACCTGATATAAGAACTTGTTATGTGTGTTGTGTTTCTGAAGAAGATGTGGCTTGATACTTGAACAGGTACAATGATCACTGACTACAAAACATCTGAATGTCCTTCACTACAGTAAACATCGTTCAAATGTAATCAACGTTGACATTTTGAAAACAAGTTTGAACTCCTTATTTAGTTACCAGGTATGCAAACTAAGCATGAACATTGTGTGTGATGTAAACTACACATAAAGTTGTGTCTATTAAAAACTACTAATAAGTAATGTCATATATTAGGTTCTTAAGCTACACATAAAAGGTGTGTGTGTCATTGATGAACTACTCATGAAAGGTGTGTGTGTCATTGATGAACTACTCATGAAAGGTGTGTGTGTCATTGATGAACTACACATAAAAGGTGTGTGTCATTGATGAACTACACATATAGGTGTGTGTGTCATTGATGAACTACACATAAAAGGTGTGTGTCATTGATGAACTACACATAAAGGTGTGTGTGTCATTGATGAACTACACATAAAAGGTTCATGTACTGCAGTTGAATTAACTTGGTTTCTCCTCCAAACATTGATACTTTGGAGTAATGTTGCTGCTGATCCAGCCTACCCACAGCTGCAGAAATCATGTCTATATTTATATACATCTCTGTACTAAGTACAGCCAAACTGCAGGTGAGGTAACTTATGTACATGAAATCAAAGTGTTGTGTATGTAAAGAGTGATTTTTTATAGACTTCTCAATAGTTTTTGTGACTAATCATTTGCAGTAAGTTAAGCCCACAAGGTAATGAAATGTGTGTTTACTTAACCCAGTGTTTAGGTACAACATAGTTACCCTGCAGTAAATACAGTCAGTTCAAAAATAAGTCTGACTCAGGTATATGGGGTGGGCTTATTAGAGGATTTCCTCACATAAAAACTCTTGCTTGTATTTCCGTCTACTGAACAATATTACATGGAGTGAGGCCAATATTTCTACACTTGGACTTGTTACTAGACAATTAAACTCAATCATCAGCAAAACCATTGATTTCTGAAATATTTTTTCATTTTCATTTTATTTTTACAAACATACATTATTTACACAGATGCTTTTGAAATCCTTTAACACTAGGACCTGATATCACATTGTGTAATTAATTACAACGATGAGTTATATCGTCACAGGTAAAGCAATTTTTTGATTGAGTTCTTATCACTGGGACCATATGGTTTAGGCAAACTAGCAACATTCTTTTCCATTTTACCAAATACATAGTGCAGAAATATTGTGAATATTCATAACAATCTTTCCAGTTCATACTTTGCAATATGAATTATTTTGTAGAGCACTAAGCTGTGCAGCTTGGAAGCTTGTTTCTACTAAACTTTGAAAACCTAATCATGTATGAGTTGATACACAAAAATAATTAAGGTATTTTCTTTTGGATTAGGACACAATGAAAACAAACTGTCAGTTAAGTGTTGAACCACAACAATTTCTACAGGAAAGAAACAGGGTAGAATCTGGTTTCTGACAGGTCCAAAATAAGTCTTCACAATATCATACACACATACTCTCAAGATTTAACTTTCCAGAAAATTAATTAATGTGTATTTTTTCTTTTTGTTCTGCTTTCATATCAGAACATTCCATATTGGTATTTTATCTAGATGCTCTTCTACAGAAATGAAAATGTCAGCCAGAATAAGCAGTTTTGAAAGGACAGAGCCGTGTATGAGTGCAACAGGCCCTGAAGTTGTACATCCACATGATGCCTGCTGTCCTATATTTAAAGTATAATCAATAGCTGGTAAGAAAAGTGTGCTGGTTTAATTAAGTATGGTATCAAGTCAGTGTGAAGAACTGGTTTGGCTATACAGGTCCTAATGTGTTCCAAAGCTGAAATTAACCACTAATTGTTTTCATTAGCCATCTTTTCAGTTGGCATATATAAGCATCTCTCTAACAGTATTTAGGTACAAAACATTTATACCCAAGCTTCAGACCATTATACCCTACAATTAGACAGATGCATGTATTTGTGTCCTTGAGTAAGATATTTCAACTCCTAATTACACCTGTTGCTGTACAGTAATATGGTTTTGTGTCGAGTATCATAGAGTCTGTGTAATAAGATTCGAGTTGTATAGCACTGTTGATGTGATATTGAAACATGAACCATCACCCAGTAGAAAACATCGGCTCCAGTCCATTCTTATAAACGTAGAGGTACATATATATGTACTTTTTATATACCTTGCAATAAGCAAAGGGGGCAGTTCATATAATAACTGACTCAAAGTCTGGGTTTATTACCGAGTATTGCCATAGCAAAAAACACTCCTGGAATACTTTAACAAACACAAACTGATAGAGCGTGGTCTAACAGTGAATCAAGGTCTTTTATTAGGATATATACAACACAGGAAAATGTCCAATTCCACTGTTTCTTAGGTTGAATATGTATACTAAGGACTAACACAAAACTGCAGTGGTTCCAATATAAGGTTTTACATCATATACTAACTACTACCTAATTCCTGTTTAAAATTGGAATAGTTATCTCCCCTCTTTGTGTGCTCTGTAATTCTGAAAGAGGTTGAATATGTGCAATTAAGTGTTGAATACAATGTAATTAAAACTTATGATATATTAAATTTTTTAAGTTGAATTTGTGAATAAATATTGAAAAGTTTATCACCAAGGGTCTCTTTGTCTTCCACCGCTTGCCAAATTTCAGTCTTTAAACTCAGACCAAAGAGAATAATTCTGTATATACAGAAAACACTCCTTCATCAGAATATGTCTAGAATCCATTGCTGACATCGACTGGAGTGTACAGAGAATTGAAAACAAATTAATATATCTCTGTGGTATTGATAGCAGGGGACTAATTAAATTTACTAGCTGTTAAAGGTTTAACTTAAGTTGCTTTAAGACTCGAGCATACTTTAAATATACACAGGATCACGATTCCTATCTTTCAGATGGTCAGACAGACATACAGTCTATACCGGCAACAATAGTGACGATGACTAACCAACATACTTCACCAGCTGTATTTATATTGCATAATCAGCTGATAACAAGAAATGATTTTTACGATGCCCCATACTAAGATCACATTGAATGATAACGGGACAAGGAGTTTTTAGTGTTTCATTTTAATTTTGGTGTTAGCCATTAGTAGTTATCAATGTAGACCTACTTAAACCATACAAGTATGAAAATGAGCTATATGTTGTGTGAACTTGTAATCTCATCTGATTTTAAAATATACCAATAAAAAATTTGAACAGAAAAAAGTTTCAACTGGTACTTAATTGAGAGATACTGATACATTAGCCTTGTTACTAATGAATATAACATCAGACACATGTAGACTATACAGAACCAGCAGACTAAGTGTTGCTGAAGCAATACATGTCCCCTAGACACACCACCAGAAGCTTATACATTGTATGGATTACAGATTTTCTAAAAATAGTAACAGTGACTTTAACCTTGACTTAACAACCCCTAACTTGAACTTGTCCAAGATAATTTGATCCTTCATGAGTAAAGGGGCCTTGACCTAAAACCCTGAAACTCAAACATAAAGAAGATATTTCCATCCTAAGAATGAAGGGACTAGTAAATTGACAAACTTTCACAGATACAGGGACTATAATTACATAACTACAGTTCCCACCCCTATTAATGCATTCCAGAACTTTTTTTTAAACAGAACAACCTCACTCACATGTTGAATTGCAGCTTACAGTAGAACCCAACATCAGTCATTATAAAATCTATGCTTGGGTTATTTGAGTTGTGTTGATAGGAAGATTCTTTTCCCTTCAATATTCTATGTAACATTGACATTGGGGTGAACCTTGACTGTCTGGAAGGGAGGAAACCTGTAGATGTCTGGAAGGGATGTAACTGGCACCTGTCTGCAAGTGAGGAAACTCCAGCTCTCTGAAAGCCTTAAGTCAATAACCCTTTCTGTTGAATTATCTACACCTGCAAGGTTGTACTGCACTATACCCTGGTACCATATTGATTCAGAATAACCTTCTTTACATTGTACTTCAGTCTGATCACACGGAATGTGTAGAACTTTTAAACTCCACAGTGTGAAATCTGAGTGTGGATGCCAAGCTGATTTTTGTCAATCTACAAAAGTAAATCAGTATGTAGTTTATCTAGAGAACTTCATGGGGTGTGCCTCTTGAAAACTGCATTCTAAGATTAATATATGAGTGCAATGCCTTAAAAAAATCCCATCATTCACTACAGGCTGAAGATAAAATCATTTTAGATATCATCAAGTTTTCATGGTGATGATCAACATGTATATGAAAAATCAATCTCAGTTTATACAAATATGTGTTGGGTATTTATTGTAGACAGACCAGAAAATCACGC